GCATTAGGGATGCACCAACCAACTTACCTGTGACATTCAAACAAGGCAACTGTCAGGAGACCAGGCATATTTCAAGTCTCCTCTGGAACCTGGCTTATTCTCAGCTGAAGGCCAACAAGTGGCAAGTAGCTTTCCTATTACTTTTCTCCATTTTTGTTGGTTGCATTGTTCTTTTGTGAGATATATATCTGTTCATCCAAATTTACACATTGTTTTTGGCATAAATATGTTCACAATTTTTTCTTCTTATTTTTTAATTTCTGCAAGATCTGTGGTAGATCCCCCTTGTCATTCCTAGCATTGGCTACTGTGTCCACTTTATTTCTCTATTGCTTTTGTAAGAGAATTATCAATTTATTCATGTTTCAAAGAAATTTTTTTCAAAGAACCAACTTTCGGCTTTATTGCTTGTTTTGTATTTCAATAACTTATTTCCTTATCTTTATTACATCTTTCCTTCCTTTTTTTAAGAGAGTAGAAAGGAGGGAAGGAGGGGAGGAGGGAGGGAGGGAAGGAGGAGAGAGAAAGAGAGAGAGAGAGAGAGAGAGAGAGAGAGAGAGAGAGAGAGAGAGAGAGAGAGACATTGATGCATTGATGTTAGAGAGACACATCGATTGGTTGCCTCCCACAAGGCCCAGTCTGGTGCCAAGGATCAAGCCTGCAACTCTGGAACATGCCCTTGACGAGAATCAAACCTGAGACCCTTCAGTCCACAGGCTGATGCTCTATCCACTGAGCAAAACTGGTTAGGGCTCCTTCCATTTTCTTGATATTTAATATTTGTTTCTAACTTGTTGACATTTTTAACACTGCGTTCCAGTCTTTGTTCTTTTGCTATAATATGCATAAAGCTATAAATTTCCATTGATTAAGGGGTTAGCAGCACCCCACAAATTCTGTTACATTTTTATTGTCATTAGTTAAAATGGTATGTGTGTGTATGTGTGTGTAACAGATATGTAGTTTTTATTTTCAAAATAGATGACAATTGTTTTAAAATATGTTCATGGTGAATCTTTTCATTTTCTATTCCTTTACATTAACATTTCATTATCCTTATGTTTTACATATTCTTTAGAAATCTTAGGTTGTAAAATATCTTAATCAATTTATTTTTAATGTGAACTTATACAAGATGAGAGTCTTTTAAAGTTCATGTGATTCAATTATGTTTAACTATTTTCATATATGCTTTCTTATCTACCATCTAAGGCCTTTCTATTTGTGTAACCTTTCAGATATTTCTATTTTACTTCCCTCTCCCCTCCCTTCTTTGGCCATACTTTTGATTAATTGACTTTTTATTATTATATTTTACTCTATTAGTTTGGGAATTATATACCCCACTATTATTCTTTCAGTGGTTACCTTTGAAATTGGTTTAGAATATTAAATATTGTCTTTTACCCTCTCCTGACCTCGCTGACTTTTAAAAATTGTTCTGTATTCCTCTTTGAATCTCTGAACATTTTGAGTCTGCCCATGTTTAATTCTTCAGTTTTTATTTTTTTTCACAAATATTCTAACTCCCCTTCATTCTTATGAGTTTTTTATTGCTTATAAATTCTGGATTGGCAGTTATTTTACTTGACATGTTAACTATGTCCTTTCATTGTCTTTGGACTTTGTTACTCCTTTGAAGGTATTTTGTCTTTTCAACTGCTGGCTGCTTTTAAGACTCAGGCTTGGTCATTATTTTACCACCGATATGACTAGGAGCATTTTTATTTCTATTTATTCTATTCAGGTTTTGCATATTTTCTTTTAAGACTCAGGCTTGGTCTTTATTTTACCACCGATATGACTAGGAGCATTTTTATTTCTATTTATTCTATTCAGGTTTTGCATATTTTCTTTTCTATTTGTACCAAAATCACATTTACAGAGAGAAAGAGCCACCCTTATTAGATGCACACATCTGTGGATTTATGAGAACACATGCATTCCTGTTTGTCAATAGCACCATATACCCTCTGTCGTTCATTGTGGTCTGAATGTCTGTATCCCCCATGTTGAAATCCTACTCCCCAAGGTGATGGCAGGTGGAAGGTGGGGCCTCTGGAAGGACACTAGGTCATGAGGGCAGAGCTCTTATGAATGGGATTAGCGCCCTTAAAAAAGGGTCCCCAGAGAGCTCCCGGGCCCCTCTGCCCTGGGAGACATAGAAGTGGGCAGTCAGCAGTCTGCAACCTGAAAGAGAGCCCTCCCCAGAACCTGACTATGCTGGCACCCTGATCTGGGACGTGTAGCCTCTGGAAATGTGAGCAATACATTTCTGCTGTTGACTAGTCACCCTGTCTTTGGCATTTTGTCACAGCAGCCAGAACTGACTAAGACAGCAGTCCGTCCTCTGCTCCCTTGTGCTATATCCAGCCTCTAGCAACCACTCATGTTTTCTGTCCAATAGTGTTGCCTTTTCCAAAATGTCATATAAATGGAATCACACTTATAGTCTTCAGATTCTAACTTTTTTTCACTTAGTGCAATGTGTTTGAGATTCATCCATTTGGTGACGTATAATAGTTCATGGTTTTTTACTGCAGAGTTTTCCCTTGTGCTGCCAGTTGGTCAGCCTGAAAAATAGCCCCAAATGGGTCCACTCTAGGCACTCACACCTCATATAGTCGCCTCCTACCTAGTGGACTGAATATATAACTTTCTTCTAACAATGTCCCATCCAAGAATAGGCTGTGTAAAGACAGTGGCTTCCCTCACGGGTATTCTTTCTGGCTATTGTGGATTGCTTGCTCTGGGGGAAGCCACCTGCCCTGCTGTGAGGCCACCCTATGGAGAAGCCCATGTAAGTAAGCAGGGAAGTGGATCTTCTGAGGCCCCCCAGGGCCCATGTGAGTAACCTTGAAAATGGACCATCTGTCAACCAAGTGTCAAGCTGACTATAGTTTTGGCTGAGAGCTGATAGCTATCTCACAAGGGACTTTGTACCAAAGGCAATCAGCTCAGCCACATCCAGATTCCTCACCCAAAAAACTGGACAATAATAGCTGTTTGTTGTAGTATGTAGCCTCCAAGTTAGGGGGGGGTGGAATTTTTACACAGCATTAGGTAGCTAATACAACCGAGGCGCCAGTTAAAGAAAACTTTATTTCCAGGGTTAGGGATTATGACTTCAGGCACAAGCATTTGCATTCAGGTGTTTGTGTGGACACTGTTTTCATTTCCATTGGGTAAATAAATACCCAGGAGTGGGATTGGTGGGTCATACAGAAAGTGTATGTTAAACTTCCTAGGGAACTGCCAACTCAAGTCTGTGTCTTGATGCTTTCATCAGCATCGGGAATTCTCTAACATTGCTCACCAAATCTTTTCTCTTGCCCATGTACCTTCTCTTCTTTCCCTAGGATTCCAATCGTCCTCCTCCCTGACTGTATCCTTTATGCCTCTAAACCATTTCTTGGAATTTCCATTCTTCTTCTGTGCTTCTTTGTGTCTCATTCTGCATATTTTCTGAGTTATCTTTCACTGCCCCAGGTTTTTATTTTTAAATGACTGTGTCTAATTAACTTTAAACTCATCCTCCATTATACTTAATTTTATGACTGTATTTTTTAATTTCAGAATTTCCATTTGACATGTTTTTATTGTTTCCCATTTCTGCTGAAATTCTCAATCTTTTATCTCCCTGGGCATAGTAAACACACTTATTTTAAAGAATGTGCATTTGAAGTCTGATCTTTTGAGCAGCCATGGATATACTGCAATTGACTGCTATTTCTGCTTAGAATATTTTTCAGCTTATTTTGTGCCTGGTACTTTTTGACTATGTATTGAATTGAAGTGTAGGATGCCATATATATATAACTGTTTTCTCTCAGGTACCTGTGGGTCATATCAGTCCTTGAGGTTGGATTGAGATGATTCATAGGTGATGTGGTTCCTGATTCTGATTCAATTGATCCTTAGGATGGACACTTCAAGGCCCCACCCCCTGACCCTGGCAGACTCCAGACTCAGTCTGGCCCCTCGATCCCAGGAGGCAGTCAGAAGCACAGCCCAGTCTTCTCTGCACGAGGTGAGTGCCCCAAACATCCCTTGGAGAAAAGCTTGGACTATATGGGGTTCTTTGCTTGGCTTCCATTGCATTTCTTACTCACTTTTTCATTCCCTTCCAGTGTTTCACTGCCTTAGATTTCTAGTGCAGTGGATCAGATTAAACAAATTTAAACATTTCTATTTGACATGTTTTTGGATATTCTCAGAAATGGGTTGGACTGAATCTTTTCATTAACCATTATTAGAAGCCCTGGGGCTCTTTTATGTGTGAGAGAAATAAGTTATTTGTTTAAGCTACTATTAGGAAACTTTTGGATACATACAGTCAAGCCAATTTCCAAATGATACATTCATATAATCCAATTAAACACTTAAAGCCAGTTTGGTGTTTACCATGCCTTCAATATTATTTTCCCTTCATAGTTTGTAGGTATGAGAAGAAAAAGAGTGATTTAACTCCTTCTGCTCAGTATAAGTCTCATTTTATGCTGGTTCTCATAGATCAAATTCTCCATAAATATTTCTGAAAAGTCATTTAATACTGAAAATGATTTTAGTTCTTTGATTTATCCTATAATGTGTTATCAATATGCCCCACAGAGATGTTTCATAGTTTACATTCTATTTTCCTTTTTTTTATTATTGTTAATCTTCACCCGAGGATATTTTTTTCCATTGATTTTTAGAGAGTGGCAAGGAGGGAGGGAGAGAGAAACATCAATGTAAGAGTGACACATGGATTGGTTGCCTCTGACACTCACTCCTACAGAGGCCAGGGATCCAACCTGCAACCTAGGTACATGCCTTTGACCGGTAATCAAACCCTTAACTATTTGATCCATTGGCTAATGCTTTAACCACTTAGCTACTGTTTTCCAGTTTTTAAGCCTACCTCATTTTTATGTTTTAAATCTGTTCTTCAATTTAAAATTTGGAGTTGATACAATTTAAAATTTATCTATTTAGTACTGAGTTTAAGATGTGCTTACCATTTGAGATGGAATTGCCATTTTCAGTAGCGACAGCACTACAGAGTGAATTAGATAATTGAATTCCATGGTTATTTGCATTTCTATCTTGAGTCTCTGGTGCGATCTCTGATGTACCGGGATCATCTCGGCTAGTCAGGTTCATGTTAGTTTCAAAACCTAAAATAAATTTTAGACGTGATTATTCTCTTCTGTTAAAGTAGACTGAATATGTTGATTAAAATACTGAAATGGAATAATGAACTTATCAAATCATTAATTACATTTAAAATGATAACTTAGTAACAATACTTATTCAAATTTATGGCCTACAAAATATTTTTCAAATTTTGCCAAAGCATTGTTAAACACAATGGCTATACCATATTTAACAAACATTGTTAAACTAAGTGGTGAAAATAAATTTGATAATTTGTTATTTTCAAACATGTCTATAAGGAACTTTTGATGTCATATGTCACTTATTGTTATAGTGCTGACCATTTGAGAAATCTATTTCCTAAAAGTATGGCAATAATTATGTCTTTGAATTCAGTTTCTGAATTATTAAACTGAGCAGAGCTGAAGCAATCTTACAGCTTTGGAATAAAATAAGAAATATATTTTCAATATAAGTGTAAAATGTGTTATTATCCATAGGAATATTAAACTTCAAATCCTTACCTCTTTATTCTATACCCTAACAAAATTACTTACATGTTATTGTATGTCTCAAGTTGAATGCTCTCAGATATGCAAACATAGAAATCATTGTCCAAATTAGGCTAAAATGCCCAATAAGGATTTTTTTTAAACTATGTATTAATAATAAAGTAAAATATAACAAACACTAAGGTTTGGAACAATGTCTAACTGAGGTTGATGTTTACATAAGGATAGTATCATCCTTAGTCAGGGTCTACGAGAATGTACAAATGAAGCACATTTGTCATCATGGTGTCAGACCGGCTCTCCCCAACCCCTCCCATCCCCAAAGTCAGGTTCTCCTCCCAGATTGGCCAGGCATATAGGGACTGGCTCTTGCTTCCCCAGGGACCTCAAAAAAACTCCAACTTACTTGGAGATTATTGCTTGACATCAAGGATATCCATGCTCTTTCTGCTCTTTGTCTGTTGGTACACAGTAGATTATGGCTGTCTATAGTTAGGCCTGTCTGAAGTTTTAGGCTAACAAATTATTCAAAGTCATAATTTGCTTTTTATACTTTACATGGGGAAGAAGAGTTTATCAGCCATGATCCCCATAACCAGGACTTCAATAGGCAGAGAGGCTATCCCTGTATTGCTGAAAAGGGAGTTAAGGTCACTCACAGTCATGCAGGTGGAAAGAGGTAGAATAGAACTTTAATCTATGTATTCTAACAATTGTTCAGGTTTTGTTTTTGACAAGAAGACAAATTAGGCTACGTCATTTCAATGAATTGCTGTTTAAATCCCAAGGAAGGAAATAGGGACAATAAGGAGGGATATAAGAAGGAGAGAGAGAGGAAGGAAAAGAAGAAGGAAGAAGGCAAACCAGGCAGCCCTCTAGAGCTTAGCTCGAACCTTTCTAACTCTTCCTCCTGGACATCCTCTCCCCTTTCCCCTGAGACTCATACTCAATAGCACTACAGGCCATTTTCCCAGATGGGCATTTTCCCAACTGCTCTATATCAACTCGCATTTCAGTGCTTTGGTCTATGCATTCCCTTTGCCTGGAATGTGTTCTCCACTAACAACCCTGCCACTTCCTTACCCTCCAGTGAGGATCTTGTTCAGATCACCCACAGTGCAGTGGCCACTCATGTACCAGTAAATAATGTGCAGCACAAGGAGGAATCTGGGCTGCCTAAACAGGAAGGCATGCTAAGGTTTAGAGTAGAAAATGCTAGACAGTTAGAATGAAGGCAAAATGAACAGGTCTTTGAAAATCAAGGAGAAGCCTTTATATTTCAATGATCCATGGAACCATTGCAGCTCCTGACTCCTTATACTTAAAAAGGCTTTGGTCAAGCCAATGTGCGTAAGAACAATGATGCCCTTGAGGTTGGGTGATCTCAGCTCTTGACAATAAGCAATCGCCAAGAAGGCTGTAACTGAAAGAATATCTATTCAATTTGGTCAACTCTATTTGGTCATTGTTCCTTTTTAGTCTTTGGAAAGTTAGTAAATCAAGTTTTATTTTAAAGTCGTTTCAAGATACAGACATTCACCAACTTTTATTTCTCTTTAAGACTAATTTTTTTTTCATTCTTTAATTCAGTTGTTTATTGAGTGCCCACCATGTGCCCAACACCCTCCCTCCAAGTGCCAGAGACACAATAATGAATATCATAGGCAGCTTGGAGCTTACTGGCCAGTTTGACAATAGACAAACAAGCAAAGAAACAAGTAGATAATTAAAAGTGGTGAAATCCCAGCTGGGTAGAAAACTTACTCGGAAGTGAGGGTAGGCAGCCAACATTTTCAGAAAGCATGGATCAGGAAAACATACCTAGGAAGTTGCAGTGAGGCTCAGAGAAAAAGGAGGGAAACAAGCAACTGTGTTGATAGACAACCTCCCCCATGTCTAAAGGTCTCAAACACGAAAGAGCTCACCTTTTCCAAGAAACCAGGTACTAAGGAGCTGGGCACGTGGAAGCAAAGGGTAGGTGAGAAAGGAGGACATGCCTATTACCCAGGGCTGGTGAGGCCACGGCAGGCAGGCAGAGTTTAGCTTTGGTTCTCAGTGCAGAGGGAGGTTACGACAAAAGGGTATGAAGTAGGGAGAACCTCCCTGGGTAAATGGGGACAGTCCTCTTATGTGTGGTGCTACAAGACTCAACCCTCTGAGACACTGTGTCTCGGCATGAGTATTTGATGCGAGCTTTCCTCTTAATTAATTTCTATCTCATCAACAACTGATATATTTAAATTATAGTCAAGACCTCCACTTTTGCTAGTAAAGTTTAAAAAATCTTATCACATTTCAGATCAGCAGGTGAAATTGTAGCCAATAGATGTTCTTATTTTTAATTATTTTTAATTTTTATTTATTTTTTGTTAATCCTCACCCGAAGATATTTTTCCATTGACTTTTTTAGAGAGAGTGGAAGGGAGGGGGAGAGACAGAGAGAGAAACATCCATGTGAGAGAGACACATGGATTGATTGCCTCACGCCCTCAAGGTATGTGCCCTTGACCTGAATCGAACCCTGGAGCCTTCAGTTCTCAGGCAAAGCTGCATCCATTGAGCCAAACCAGCTAGGATGCCAATAAATGTTTTTAAATTTGTCACAATAAACTGTGACCCTTACATTATCTACTAAGGTTTTCTTTCTATGCTTATATGAAAAGCATATGTCTACTCAAGGGTGGCTCTGGATTGGAATAAGGGAATGTCTTTCTTAACGTCAGCTAAGAATTAATGGCCAGCCTAATGATTATTATTCACATTGCTTTTACAATAATTACCATCTCCTGAGTGTTTATTATGTTCTAATCCCTGCTAGATGTGATACTTGACTTAGCTCTTATTTTCCTAACAATTCTGAAGAGCTGTCACTATCGTACCTATTTTCAAGATGAGGTCACTGAGGCTTGTGGAGGTTAATCTACATGCAAACATTTCACAATTAGTTAGGGTTGCAGATGAATTCAGACTAAGGCATGAAGGGCTCCACCATCCACCCACACTCATTCCTGTGCCTGACCCCTTATGTAAAGTCTTCCCTCCTTATTTCATGTGCTGGTGTAAGAGGATAAGGTAGCTTCCTTTCTGTGGCTTTATCACCCATTCTCAGTAGTAATGAACTCAGATCTGAAAAGTTGTACTTGAGCCACTGAACCCGAATTGCAACATCAATATATGCGTCCCCACTCTGGGGTTATCCTTACTCATTAATTTTAACTAGAGGATTCTTAGCATAGTAAATTCTGTGTCAGCCTTAGCTCACAAACACCCTACTCCAAGTTAGATTCAAACACATAAAAGCATCTGTGCCCAAACTTGTTAATATCTCGATTCAGTCACAATGTGGGTAAATTGCAGAAATTCTCAATAATTTGATTTTGTTGTAAAGTGTCAGTTTAGAGCATGAATGGTTGCAATGTCCCTGGTCAAAAGTATGCCCATTACCCTGTATGTAAGCACTGAGGAAATTATAACAATGACAAATCGAGAGGACATGGGCATTAAATCTGAAAAAGCCTTGGTTATAAAAGTGCACACACAAGATGCATATTTTATGGAGACTTTTCAAAGGAATAATACAGAGCAAACAAAGTCATCAAGTTTGTTCATGCCTCCAAGCAGTGGCTTTCAGGGTTTTGAGGGTGAAGAAAAGTCGGTCACACCAAAAGGAAATATTTGAGATTCTCAAGGAATCTAAGCAAACAAGTAGAGAAGTGAGAACTGTAAGATCCTGAATGATGATTTAAGGTATGTCTGAGTCATTTCTCCATCTCTACATCTTGTGAAATCAGTGGTTTGTGTCACTCAGGGCATCCTTCGGTCAGGTATGTTGTAACATTGGTTGATTCAAATACCCATACTGGTTTCTCTTAGCCTATACACAGGATTTCTCTGTGGCCCCTGCCTGGTGTTGTTTTTACAGGTATGGGAGAAATAAATCACATTGGGATTGACTCAAAGATAGTCTTGGCCTTACATTAGGATAGGGCTATTAAATACAAGCAAGCACAGAAGGCACATTTTAAGTTAAATTTTAATCTAGTGAGAGAGTTTGAGCAAATCTCTAAATGTGAATACAAAAAAAAATAAATCAGTTGTCCTGTTTTAGTTTTTATAGAACTAAAATATCCTGCTTGGGTGGGTGTGATCCTTTGAAACTGTGGTTTTCTATAGGAGGTGATATTGCCACCCCACCCTTCCCCACCCTCCCACCTCTGAGCAACATTTGGCAATGTCTGGTTGTCACACTGGGGGAGGGGGACACTACTGGCATCTAGTGGGTAGACAGCAGGGATGCTACAAAACACCCTACAATGTATAGAACAGTCCCCTCCCAGACGACAAGGAATTATCTGGCCCAGAATGTCAAGAGTGCTGAGGCTGAGAAAGCCCATTATAAGACCTAAGTCAGATCACGTCATTTCCCCATTCCAGTCTCTCCACTAGGTGCTCATTTTCTGTGGATTAAGATCCAAATGTTTCCTGAAACTGAGAGACCCTCCATATCT